GCACCCTCAGTTATTATCTAAGTATATTGTAAATTGTTAATTGTTCTTGTAAATAAAATTGTGATTAGTCTCCTGTGACTCTGGCTCTTTGCTGACTAATTCCCCAAGAAAACCAGCACGTCATTTGGAAGGTATTGTTCACCCAGAACAGTTCCATGATAATTCTCTTCACAACAAACAAATGTATACATACACTGTATGTCTGTTTATTGTAGGGTTTGGATAACATCGGTTTGCATGTTATGGTCAAGGTTCTAACTCCTTTGGGAGTGCCGGACAGATGAACAGAAGGCCCAGTAATGGTAGCTTGGATGTACATGTATTGTCTAATGAAGATGAGTATAGGTCTAAAGGATGGGGATTTTGACAATCTTTAAAGTAATTATGACCCAAAGTCCCTTTCGAGCCGGACCCCTGGGGTGGCAACAATTTCCAAGGCAGATTTTGGAAACATGAACGCATTTGTGTTATGTCAAGTATATGTGTATATAGATTAAGATTCAATTTTTCCAAATGGCCCCACTCCATCTATCCAATGACGAGTATCAAATAAGGTGAAATTCTAAAATTTACCTGTAAATCAGCTATTCAATCTCACTAAATCAGATCTAAGTTCTCGCTGCTGCTAAACAAAGATCTGAGGACGTCCCATTACGGATCACGTCAGAATGACCTTTTGCGAACCTTGACTTCCCACTGAAATGACTAACAAGAAGTCGACATCAGCCAATTAGAAAGAAGCTTTCTAAAGTTTTACGTCACTCGTTTCAACCATGCTACTTCCATTTCAGACTACGCTTGAAAAATATGTTGATACAGCTCTCGATTAAAATTTTGAAAACTGAACAAATGAACATTCTGGAATGTCTTATATATATATCATTGAGATTGTATGGCAATGCTTCCCACGTACTGTGCAATGCCTCCTCCATTCAAATGTTTATCCCATGCAAACGAGAGATAGACGATAATTTTGACGAAATCACTCGTACGGGCCTTAACTGTCATTCAGAATACCCTGTGTTAACATTTTCGAGGTAGCATGATTAGAAAACACATTCCAACTGTCACTTTCATGATCTGGTAACATGGTAAGCTACGCTTTGATTGGTCGGATGAAAGGTCGTTCTGACGTGACCTGTAATGGTATGTCCTCAGATCTTTGTTTAGCGATAGCGAGAACTAAGATCTGATTTTCATGAGATTGATCAGCTATTAAGCCCCATGCACTTTGTTTTTACAACTCTGAGCTTTCTTGGCCAAATGAGGCAAGGGGTCACACTTTTGCTTTAAAAAAAGTTTGCTTGGCCATATTTATGTACTAAACTTAGTACAAATCTAATCAGCCATTTTAGAAATGTAACTTAACGTCCAATGGGAAATAACTTTTGTCAATATGTTGTAGTAACTGTTTAAAGGCAAAGCAATCGGAGTGATACATAAATGAAAACAAGACAAAGATTTTATATACAAATCAAATTGCTTCCAACCAAATATGGTTGATATCTATCTTAAGTTCCAGAAAAGAAGTCGTTTAAAGCAATAGCGCCAAATAACCCCTATCTGGCCCCGCCCCTCAGCCCCTTAGGGGTTCAGCCCCTTCATTTGTACAATTTTGAATCCTCACCATCGGAGAATGCTTCCAACCATATCTAGGGAATACTACACTCATTCTCGTTAGATACCATTTTTACGAAAGTTGCCGACTAGACTGTTAACACGATGCAATGGTTGCATATAATATGCATCATGTAAGTCCCAAATACTCCCACATCACACAAAAAGGTATGGCCATCTGAATCAATAAAACTAATTTTGTTGTACATGTTGTAGCCATAGTAGCATGCAAGTTTTAAAAATTGAAATATTTATGTCCAATTTTAAACATTCACTCACTTAGTTTTGTCTTAAACCAAGAAATTGAACATAAGGCTTTCATTTTTTGTGTAGTGTTATGAATCCACATCATAATGATCATTAAAAGACTTGGATGTCAAGAATGGTCAAAAGAATTGTGCAAGATGAAGTTTTTAAATCTTTCAGTAATTACAAATCTATGAAATAAATATGTTATGGCCACTATCACTACATCTTGGAGTATGAAGACGGGTTTAGAACTAAACATGAAAGCTTGACTAGCCCAGGTAAAGATAAAATGCCCTTGAAATTTTTACTAGCTCGCAGGAATACTGGCAGGCTTGTGGTATGTTCTTATCCTGGAAGAGATGGGCCCAGGGCCACAGAGACCACAGACAGCTCAGGCATAGACACCTTTGGTTATAACAACTAGTTCACATCACATTTTGGACAAGCGGTTTATGTAAAATAGCTCGATTTGGGGAAAAAAACTAGTCCAGCTAGATGTTCACTGGTCTCATAACCCTACAGCTTGGTGCTCCTGCAAATCTGACACACAACAGGGGTAGATTTAACAACAAATTTGTATGTAGCCAGCAGGCTTCTTCCTTCTCCAAACTAACTGGCCTACGAAGTGACCGAACCTGTGGTCACCTAGCCACCTAGCGGGCCTCTGAAAATCTTAAAACTCTTCACTCCTGAAACACCTTTCCCTGCTCCCTGAGATAAAATCTTGGCTTCTATTTGCCTCATTTCGTGGTGATTTATGAGCAAATAAATGTCGCAGCTGGTTGTCATTCTACCGATATAATGGCATAAATCATTCTTTTAGTTAACCATTCACAAGACCTCATCCCCACTAAATATTTTCTCATCACACTTACATGATTCATAAGTCAATTCAGTGTCCACTTAAAAAAATTAAACATGCATGAAGAAGCAGTGAAATTTTGACTAGCCAGACAGACCATCTACTTTTGTCTTTATGTGTCAGCAAGCCCTTAGTAATTTTAACTGGCCATGGGCCAACAGTTAAATTGACCCCTGCAGTATGAATGGTATATGCAAAATGTTGGAATCTCAAGCAAAAACAAAACTAGCATGCATGAGGCGTTTCCAAAAAGTGAACACATATTTGGCGCGGAAGGGTCATAAGCAACAAGAAATGTATTTTAACAAACCTAAGCATGAAATGATAAATAGTTTTATCGCTGGGCCATATGTCATATGTTGTTCGTCAGACTGAAACTAACCAATATCCCTTGGCAGTCAATAAACTAATCAATATCCGGATCACCATTTAATTACAAAATTGGCAGCACCTTCAGAATACAGTACCACAACTTCTCGGGATGACGATCTCTGCCGTCAGTCACATGTTTCAAAAACAAGTAACCAGTTTTTGTGATAATCCGCCGGACATGAACTCATAACCTTCGGATTGTTAGCCTGACAGCTAACCGACTGAGCTACGTCCGCACTGTGAAACTAAGCGCAAATTTACCTAGTCATGCCTACATCGTTATGGAACTGAACAAAAAGGGTCGAATAGGTGACGGACACTTATGAAGGTTACGGGTAGGCATGGTGTCTCACGACTTTAGTCTACGTGCATTTACTAGTGATCCTGATGCCATTCGGCACACTCGTCCCATTCCCTAACCTATGAGATACCAAGTGGTGAGGAATGAGCCGATATGGCACGAACAGTTTACCTAGTCATGCCTACATCGTTATGGAACTGAACGAAAAGGGTCGAATAGGTAACGGACACTTATGAAGGTTACGGGTAGGGGTAGGCATGGTGTCTCGTGACTTTAGTCTACGTGCATTTACTAGTGATCCTGATGCCATTTGGCACACTCGTCCCAAATCCATGAGATACCAAGTGGTGAGGAATGAGCCGATATGGCACAAACAGAAAACAGCTCTTGGCGTCAGACGTCAAACTCACGGTTACGGATGAATGAAATAGCATTTAATAATTCGTCGGGTGATTTTTGTGGCAGAAAAGTGTGGTAGGGAACAGTGTAAATTAATGTGGATAATTGTAAGGAACGAGGGAGGCATAAGTATGGCTAGTGATGACACAAGGTTGTAATCTTTCGTAAACTAGCCCTTCCTATAAAATATGCCGCCACAGGCTATATTCAGTTAAAAAATATTCAAAACTCTCAACACTGCTGGGCGTATTCCATGACATTGCGTATAGAGTATATCAGATGATAGATCACTGGGAGGAGGTTATGCACACTCGATGACCCCTGACATCACAGGGTATTGTTTTGCTGGTTTGACTGGCAACAAAATACTACAAATTATTTCATTGGGTACTGACACGTGTATGAAAAGTTTGTGATACTGTATTCTAAAGGTTGGCCGGAGCTTATGTACAGTTGCTGACCCCTGACGTCACAGCATATTGATTTGCCAGTGTGACTGGCATCAAAATACTACAAATTACATCATAGGGTATTGTCACGTGTTTGAAATGTTTGTGGTACTGTATTCTAAAGGTAGGCCCAAAATCGCATGAAATAATCATGATAATCATCTGTTGTCTTATCTTAACATCAGCCAGCTGTTATGTTTACTAGATCTTACATGGTTAATCTTAGCATAAATAATGAGTTCCCTCAAAAAGGCTCAAGTAAATTAAAAACATGGCCTAGTGGTCAATAAAAGAATGTCTTTCAATAGTCAGGAAGTAACATGGATTTGCTGGGTAAACAGTTCAAATATCCTTTGTGTGGTGCCACTGTTAGCCAAGATATTTAGCTGACACTTTGTGATGGTCCAGACGTTGGCTCAACGTGGGGATATATATTACTGTAAAACATTACAGAATTGTTTAAGATTTGTAAGTTTGTTTTCAAATGACAAAAAAAAGTGGATGTGGTCAAAATATAATTAATTGTTCATTATTTGAAAAGACAACATATAATAGCAGACAACCATTTTACTTCCTTGGCCAATGACGGGTTTTCGTTAAACGAACAATACATATTGTCATAAAAGAATATAAACAAGAAACCATTTAGATCATGTGTATATAAACAGCAGACATGAAGATATAAAACTTCATGTAAAACTGTAGTAAGATTTTTCTCATTGTTGATCTAAAACTCAGTAGGCCTACTCACCTCTGGAGGCAGGCTTGCAGGAAGTTCCGTGGCAGCTGTTGGGTCAAACATACCTACAAGGTTATCCATCTTTCTAACTTCAAATGTTTACAAATATGCCTAATTCAATACTGTTGCTAACATTGCAATAGATCTTTGTGTATATAAAATGACCGCTAAAATACCCGGTCAGCTGTTTGTTGGCACTTTCCGCCATCTTTCGTCAGCCAACACATATTATTACTATCTCCTAACAACTTACATTACTAGATGAAAAAATATCTTTTTAAAAGAGTATGTATGTAACAAGAAATTATATGTATATCAACAATTGTTATAAAAGAAGTATGAAATTTAAAGATATAATTTATTTACCCATTTCTGAAAAAGCCCAGGGAGGATGTCGGTTTTATATGATGACTGTTGTTAATAAGTTGTTTAGAAAATGTACTGTTCGGCTCGAAAATGGCCCGTATGATAACAACGTTCCGTCTCCGGACAATGTTTCAGCTGTCAGAGCTATATTAAGAATACTGCAATGTCTATAATTAGATAGGTAATGTCCCGCTACTGATGAAATTAACAGTAATACCGGGATAACGCGCCTAAGCCTATGAAACCTTTATAGATCTAATTGTGTAGCTGACTCATAGGCAATATATGCCTTTAGGCGCCCGATATCATGCATCAGGATTTTGTTAAAGTATGAGCGGCCAGTATTTTTTATTTGTGTCATGTATGACATTGTTAACTGCCTTCTCTTTAAAAATGAACCTATCATAATTTCGCAAAAGTAAATAAAATAAAATAATTAGCATCTAGAAATCTAGATCTAGACTTCAAGGATACTGTATAGAATTATCGTCGGATCATCGCTTTTCGGACGGCCATGTTAATATAAGGGTAACGCTATTTTTCAGGGCATTATCCACACTCCGTCGCAGTGGTGACTCAGCATAACACCACTGCCACAGGCTAATTTGCATATCACGTGACCGGACTTTTCTCTTGTTTGTAAACAAACGCGCTTTTTCAGAAATCAGTATAGAACAGACTAATGCAAGTATTTGGGGGCGCTTCACATATTGTTTTGCATAACTATATAGATATGCTACTACAACTGCGACAGTGAGTTGCATGACAATATATATTTATGCATCAAAGTGACCGTGTCGCTAGCTCTCCGTTGGGCTTCGATGACAGCACGTGGAGCCGTACAACCAATGTAAACATAGGATAACTACGCAAAAACAAGTAGATTTTTACGTATTTGCATACTTTCTCAATGAAAGTTAACCATTCTTTGACATTTGTTTATGAAAATGTGTAGACTTGTCAAACATGAAACGGATGAAAAGCATATGCAATATCTTGAATGGACTGTGAAAGATGTGACGAATCGTCACATGGCGCTGGCCTGTGGCAGAGGGTACTATGCTAGCTGGCTGCCGGCCGCATGGAACTCTGGGTAGGAGAGTGGGCATTATCATTTGCAGAAGCCCGAGGTTTTTCATTAACTGCCCGACGAAGGAGGGCAGTTGAAAAGACCGAGGGCTTCTGCAAATGATAATGCCCTGAAAAATAGCGTTACCGTTATTATAGCTAAAATGGATGGAATTTGTTATCAAATAAAAAGAAACAACAATATCGGTTTTGAAATATTTACTGCAATCAACACGAATGTCACTGAGCACATTTTACAAATATGGAAACGTCAAAGAACAAACCAGATGACGTCACTATAATACGTGACGTCATTTTCTCTACCCTATGACGTCACCTAACAACGGGCGTGATAATGGCCCGTCGTCAAGTAATATGAGGGCATTATCAAGTTACAGTGGCCCGCTCATTTCTGATAACGTGCGGGCGGTTTAATGATAATTCTATCCATTTTAGCTATAATCGCGAATAGTCTGCGTTATAACCATCTTCCCGAGGCAAGACAGTTAACTGACTAAAAGTCAGGTAATTAACTCTCTTGCCTCGGGAAGAGGTGATAACAGGGGGTGTAGCGTCACTGTCTGTCTAGCTCCTCACAACAATAGCGCCAACATTATTGTTTGTGGTTATTATAATGGCAAGTCACCAGAATTATCTCCTTTGCCCGGCCTCTGTAACGTCTGCCATTAAACACTGAAGTTTTACAAGCGTGTTCCTGGTGTGTAGGTATCGCATTGGGTGATAAGTAACGTGACAGCGTGGTGACAGCGTGTAAACGTATTCACCCTTCTGTAACAACCGATGACACTGGTAAACCTCTCCAAGGAGATATCGTAGCGTCACGATCTCACTAATATCGGTTAAACGCATCGATGTTATGATTAGCACGCGCTAGTAACTTCACGTATGGCACAAACACACAGGGCTCCAAAACAGTGGATTCTCACAAAGAATGAGACAATTAATTCCTTTGAGGGATGGAAACAAAATTTGTTGTACACATTATAAACAGATACCGCATTTACACCTTTATTAATGGCGTTAGTTGGCTAAAGAAATCTCATGCAAACCCAAACAGGGGGTTCACTGACGATGGTGAGGGCGTCGCCGAGGCACGGTGTAAAACTGCCGTTCAAAAAGTTAGAACTTTAGAACTAATGTTAGGCCAGATTGCCAACTATTGTCCAGTCATATCAAGGCGTACAATAGTGAGCAACTTCAGTACCGATCATGTGGCAATCAATTCGCCTTCATTATGGGTTTCAGTTAACTGGAGGCCATTTTCTTGACTTTGACGACATTCACTTAGAGGTAGATGAGAGACCAGCGGACTTATACCAGCGTTTAACAGCATTTATTGAGGACATGTTCACTATATGAGGCCGAAAGGATAAGGGATCATTTTTACATCTCCACCATATGTTGCGTTGTGGGACCTGTCTTCTACATCTTGTAATTATTCTGGCTACCACAGACAACCAATCTCAATGAAATCAGATCTCAGTTCTCGCTGCCGCTAAACAGTTTAGCGGTAGCGAGAACTAAGATCTGATTTTAATGAGATTGACAGACAACTAGACGCCGTTCTTTTGCCGCCATATTTTATTCTCTTCCTTCACCTCTGCCCAAGGGCAGATAATCCCAAACGTCATTTCATTTCAAACCGCCAGAAAATAAAGATAACATGCTTATCCTTATGTGAAATTTACATTCAAATTTACTACAAAATGTACTCCATTTTGCTACGCTACAGTACTGACATGGCTCTGACCACTACACAAAGACCTCCCTGGCTTAGTTAAGCAACTGTACGGGACCGAGTTACGTTCACGCACTCTTGCCTATATCAAACCTGAAATCTCTCAGGCTTTGGGCTCATTGTTAGAGGAAATACACACATCAGAAGATGTGAAGGTTATGCGATCTCAGGCCTCGTGGCGTAGCTAGTATCCAAAGCGATCTTTTCAGAATTCAAAATCTTGTCGGATCTGCACAGCAGCAAAACGGTCAAATGTAAACCACTTTTTGAGTGAATGCAAATTTTTACCGGAGAGGGATCGCAAGTATATGATGAAAGCAAGACAGCTCGGACACATTTTTTATGATACACCCTCAAGTGATGAGGAGGATTTGTGCTCAAATATTGATGTAAAAGACTTACCAGGTAATAACAAATCAGCAAGGCGAGTCCACGTTGAGGAATCTCCTTACATGGATGCCTTCTTCCACCACCGGTGTGTTCGCCTCACTCTCGATTCAGGAGCAACAGGCAACATGATTTCAGCCAATACAGCCAAGGTACTTGGGGTTTCTATCAACAAAAGCACTCAATCTGCCAGACAGGTGGATGGACTGTCGAAACTAAACATTGTTGGTGAAACAAAATTCACTGTGCACAGTGACAACAGAGAGCTGTATTTTGAGGGTCTTGTAGTAGAAAGCCTTGATGTTGAGATACTTGCTGGTATACCATTTTTGTCACTTAATGACATTACCATACGCCCCGCACTGAAACTTATTATCTTTGCAAATAATACTCACCTGTGTTACACATCAAATGACGACCAGGATATGCACACAGTGAGGAGAGCTGTTGTAGTGAGGGCTCCGGGGAGCACAACCACCGTATGGCCTGGTGACTACTTGGAGGTACTTGTACCTGAGGAGTACAGAACCAATGACTTTGTCGCTATCGAACCACTTGAGGACACTCCTCCATCTTGTTCATCACTATCTACATCATGGCCTCCCCCAAGTGTATTGCCATGTTTATCTGGTCGTGTTAGAATCCCTAATATACACATGCACACAAGTTAAGCGCCACCATATTCATAGTCTCTTGATTTCACGTATGGGAATCAGAAACATGAAATATGATGATGTATGACTGAATTAGGCTTCCATAGTTTCATGAACCCAAATTTGTCCAGATACCACAAGGAAAGCGTGCTTTACGTGTTGCTGCAGTTCCCCTACCCTATAAATAGTGAAATTCAAGTTTCAGACACGTGGTTTCATTTTGCTCCTGTGTGAGATTCCCCTTCCAATAGAGGTTGAAAATCAGCCATGGTGAGGAGAAAGCTAACAAACGCTGAAAGATGGCAAGTGATAGGCATGAAAAATGCTGGCATGTCATGCAGGGCCATTGCAAGACAAATGGGTCGTCATCACAGTTTTATCACTTGTTTGATTGTCAAACATGGTCAAACTAATGATGTCAATGACAGGCATAGGTATGGTAGGCCAAGAAAGACCTCTAACAAAGAGGATAGACGTCTTTTCAGGATAGTCAGAGGAAATCCATTTGCCACTTCAACAGATTTAAGACTGCAGTGGATTACCAATCAGAGACTCTCGATGATGACCGTAAGGTGTCGCCTCAGAGCGGCTAGTTACAACGCCAGAAGACCAGTAAAACGTCCTAAACTGACTGAGAGGCACAAGCGGAATCGTCTGATATGGTGTCGTGCCTGTAGTCGATGGAACTTAGCGAACTGGAGAAGGATCCATTGGTCTGACGAGTGTCGAATGCTGCTACGAACTGTTGATGATCGAATACGTGTTTGGAGGCAACGTAACACTCGACCTTAGCATGTGGCGGGGGTCTGTCGTGATATGGGGTTGTGTTTCCTTCGGCTGCAATCTCCCACTGGTGACAATTCGTGGAAACCTGAATGGTCAACAATACCAAGATGCCGTTCTTCGTCCAGTGGTAGTCCCTCATTTTGACAACCTTCGTCTTCAGACAAGACCTGTTTACATGGACGACAATGCTAGAC